TCACGCGCTCTTCAGTTTTCCGCGTTTTATTAGCAACGTATTCCTGTACGGCAGAACATTCGGTATTAATCTTCCCCCCCCCAACTTTGAGGTGCATCTCTCTAGCGTGCTCATCCTAAAGGTCCCACAAATCCCACCACGCACTGTCCTGCGGGCAGCACCGCCTTTCAGCACTTAAGTCACCCACTCCGGCCACCGAAATCTGTGGTGGGCAAGTATTTTGTTTCCTACCAGTGCGACCAGTAAGACTAGAGGTTAAGCGACCTGTTCAAAAGAAGAGGGCAGTCAAGGAAGAGCTGGAGTAGCACCTTGGATACTTTAGCTCAACTTTACTCCACTGTCTCTAGCAGTTTCCGACACAGTTACTTAGAGGGGCAGTTTGGGAGCTTTACAGCATCTCCATAATAATAATAATAATAATACCACCCCAAATTCTTAAACCTAGGGGACACAAACATAGCCAGAGGCTCACCTGGAGAAAGTCAGCTGTTTGTTGAGGCAGCTTGGTTCCAACAAACTTGAAGTGTTCCTTGTGGAATTTACTCTCAAGGTGACTGTTCATCTCGTCATCGTAGAAGGTCCGATATTTGCATAACGAACAAACAAACTGGATCCTGTTGAGAGAGTCGGAGGCGAAGGGAGGTGATATTCAAACCAATCCATTCCAGCTCTACTGGGTACCGCTTTCTCACCGGATCTGCTCCCTTGCTCTATTTAAGGGGTGGCAGATAAACTTATGGAAGTCTCCAACCCTTTGAGCATTTACGGGATTGTTTCCCCGGAAGGTTTTCCCATTTCTATTTATCGTTTAAGCACGGACGGCAAGAAGACTGGCAGGAGAGCAAAGCAGCTTCTACAAGGAACAGACAAAACGCTACGACAACTGGGAACAACAGGACGGACCCCGGCTGCGAGTACTACAGTCCCAGAGGAGCAAGCAACATCACTAAAAAAAAAGAAACCAAAACAAAACAGGAGACGTTACCTTTCTACCATGCGATCCCGATGCCTCTTCTTTTGCCTCTCTTGAGTTTTCTTGCCCGCCTGCAATTTGCGTTTGATTTGACTGATCTCTTCTTGAATTGTTAAAGCACCTAAGTGTTTAAAGCAGGTTGTATTTCAGGGCACTACTTGAGGACACCACCTGATTAAAGAGAATTTCCCTCGACAAGTTTAGTCGTCAGCCCGACCAACCCGCACGACCTAGAGGCGCCGGAGAGTCAAGAAGCTGCTCCCACCAGCCAACTACAGATAAACCTCCGCTTTAGACGACAGCGCCGTCCACCCCAAATTAGCTTTTTTCAAAAAAAAACCCAAAAAAACACTTGCACTGGGACAGGGTGGGGGGGGGGGGGGCAGAGGGGAAAACCACAGCAGATGGACTCTAATGTGGTTTCCCAGCTCTT